CTGCCTTGGATGTGCAGAGAGGATCCAAATGTCAACACAATCGGCGTTCCACAGGAAAAAAATACATGTATTGCCGGACAAGGTAAAAACGAACGCGAGCAACCGCATGATTTGACTGCACGTGCAGCTTAATTGAAACCTGACTTTCTCTCAAGGGCGTCCATAATGTTTTAATTGATACAGAAGGGGTGCGACCATTGCAGCCTCTTTGCTCTGTTGACGTCGTTGAGAGACCTCCTGCGCACCCAAATGCCCCGAGTGAATTTTTTTGCAAAGCTCCTTCTCGTGGTGCCGCCCCCTCCTTGAGCATCTCACTGGGGAAGAGGAGGCTGCCGGTCAGGCAGAAACTGCAGCCACAGCTGGTGATTGGCTCCCATTACAAAACCCTTGGCTTCCAAGACACGCCACGTGGTTGAAAGTGACTCGGGTTTGTGGAAACGTGGCGGTTAGTCTGGGATACCAGACTTCAAATGCAGCAGTGATTTTATTTGAAACAAGAACCCTTATAGTTGCTACTAGGTAAAGTTTCTCTATATGTTGATGAAGTATTTTCCAGAAGTGTTAATTTAGGTGTTACTTTTTGTTTTATCTCATTGTGAAGCGTGACCTCTGCGGAGATTGCAAAGCAGGGTCATAAGAAAAGGGCCGGACATTTAGTTTCCTTTATTCTCTTGATTAACTACAGCTCATTTTCTTCTTCTGCGGCCATTTTTCCCTTCTTAATGCAGAGAGTACCTGGCCTTGAGTTATGTTACTATTGCTCTTCCATTCCGCTTAAGGCTAGGAATAAAACAATGAATAAAGGTTTGGGGGGGAGATGTTGACCAGCATGCTCTGATTCACACATAGGTCTATTAAGGTATAATAGGATATTTAGCTTAATGTGTAAAACCAGCTTTTACGGTTGGTATTGGATATGGACCAGATCACTGTGTTTTATTTAACAAATCATAGCTAAAAGTCTCTGCTTAATGTTATGTATGAAAGGCACCTTTGGAAGAAGCCATGATATGACTTTTTGAGTTTGGTTTAGTGCAGTGCGTAAACCAGTGATTTTAAGGGCTGACGCTGGCACGGCAGGCTCTCTGATACCTAGAGATGATTCAGAAGGGTGAGAAGAAGGTGCCTTTAGTTCAGGCCCCCAAAGCTGTTGAGAACATTTCCCTATTCGCTCTACAGTGATTGTGTTGGAGGAGTATGTCGGCAGCAAAGTCTCTAACCTAACCAGGCTGTTTCTGGGAGTCTCCTGCCAAGGGGTATCTGAGAGCTGAATTTAGGCATGAGGTTTTGGAGACTTCTGACAAGCAGCCTGGATGCTAACCCTGGCAGTTGTTTGGTCAAGTTATGTCTGGGCAAACCCTGATTAGAATCGCGGGTGCACACTGCTTGGTCTTGATAAGCACCCTTGATCCAGGAGATGAGAAAGTCTTGGCTTCTTATGGACTCTGGAAAGGAATTGGCCTAGATCAGTGTTTCTCAACCTTAGCAACTTTAAGATGAGTGGACTTCAACTCCCAGAATTCCCCAGCCAGCC